TACTAAAATTTCAAAAAACAAAAACAACACTGCAACAACTTATTACCCACATATGTGAGTAATAAGTTGTTATTATTACTCTCATATGTGGGTAATAATAACAACTTATATACATTAACGTATGTGTATATATATTCATTAATATATATGTAATTTGAAAATGTCAAGTCTATTAATATTTTATTTTTGATTCTAATAAGAAATTATTGTTTAACCCTTTTTAATTTTAAAGTTACGGCATAATTCTAAATGAAAATTTTTCTTCTGTTTTTTTGCAAATTTTCCTGAATACTTTTACAGTGGAGTGTTAATATAGTGGACTCTTCGGCCCTCTGAGAAGGGATAAATTTGAAGAATTAAACAAAAAACTCAATTTTTCTTTAGGAAGCACTTTTAATTTAAAATTATTTATAACATGTTTGGCCCATGACTTCAAAATATTTAATATATTAAACTGAGTCTGATGATTTCTTCTAAGTACATAATCAACATTAAAAGAATCGAAGTACTTAGAGATATTAATTTTATAATTAAATTGTTCAATTAGTTATCCGTTATCAACATTTCAAAATTAAGAAACCTAAATAAAAAATTTTTTGTTAAATCACTTTAAAGTGATTTCCATCTACAAAGAATACACTATTTATATAAAAGATAAAAGATTCAAATTACGACCGTATACACATACTCAAGAAAATAATTTATTTACTGGAGAAACTACTGAAACTTCTTATGGGAAAACCACCTATTACTTATATCGAGAAAATAATTCTCCTTCTTACTCGTATAAGTAAAAATACTCGTACCTATATAAGTACTAGTATACTTAAATTGAATCAATTACATTAATTTTTATTAAATTTCGTTATGACAGTAAAGGCACCTACAACATTTTTTTTTTCTTCTTCAAAGAAAATCTACTTAAAAGAAAAACTATTAAAATTCTTCATTTGCTGTAAAATTGATAGACATTTTCATATTATACACATAAACGTATACATACATACATATACGAGTATGTAAATAAAATATTTATGAAAATTTTATTCGTATGTATACATTTGTATGTATTTATGTATGCTTAAGATTATACAGGGTGGTTTGCATAAGAAGGCTTGTTTTTCAGACAATTGGCTGCCCTTTATTTCCTGTCTTACAACCAATTAGATTTGAGCCATAGTCTTCAAGATAAAGTTCGTCCAAAGCCAAATTTGTGTTATTTTTTTGAGTTTTTTCGTTGTGCTACATTGAGAATTGGAGGTTCACCCCTATGTCATTTTCCTCTTATAGTTTATCCAGCAAAACGTGTTAAATCCATTTAAAAAATGCACATTTGCTACACATTTCATAAAGCCTCCGATGGTTACTCTATGTCGCATGATTCCGAACTTATAAACATTTATTTATATACAGGGAAAATCTGGAATCATTTTTTGCCACAGACTGCACCCTCAAACCCACACTATTTTTTGTTGAAAATTAAGCAAAGAAATTATTTACCACCCTATACTAAATACCCTGTATTTATGATATGTAGGTTTTTGTAAAATTAATTTAACTTTTTGAAAATAATTAAAAACCAGAAGCCAATTAACATTTTAATAATATTCCCTTTATGTTCTAATAGTTCCGAATATGAAATAGAGGATTTGTACCCAATATCACACATTTGTATGTACATACGAGCATATTTAATAAACAAATTACAGCAGATATATGTAAATATATGGCAAAGAAATTTTAAATTATTTTTGATAATTTATTTTTAACAATTTTACATAAATGTGTCATATTTTTCGCCTTTCATATTTCCTTTCTGTTGTAAAATAAAACAAAAAAATTTTAACTAAATGACAACTTTCATAGTTTATTAACAAAGATTATAAATAAATAAATAAATAAATAAATAATATAGAGTAATAAAGACATAATATTTTTTAATTACCTATAGGTATGTGAAGTTTTTTAAATGAATAGAATTAGGATTAAAATATCATTATTTCTCTTCCATTATAAAGGCGAAAATATCACAAGAACCTTACACGCAAAATGAATTTCTTAAATTTTGGAGGGTAAGGAATGGGTACATGTTTATTTAAAACTCAATTAATTTGAAAATATTATCTATGCTATTAAAGTTAATTAATTAGTTTAAAAGTGTTAATTTTACTTATTAGGTTTACGTATATTAAATGAAAGTGTTTTAATTCCTAAATACTTTTCTTGAATTAGAAGAGTTATCAAAGTTGTATTAAGTGTGTTTCAAAATTTTTAAAGAAGTGAAAATTAATTGCATGGTAAATATTGCAAAAACAATTAAGTTTTCCGTTTAAAATTTGTATGTTCAATTAAAAATTTTCAGTTTTGGCGCCCGAGCATGAACCATCGAATAACACTGTAAATTAAAATATTTTTATATATAGAGTTATAAGTCTGCCGTGTTAACCATATCAAATCAAAATTAAGTAAATCACATTACGCACTCTATGCCCAACTCCCTGAGGGATATCTCCAGGTTTTTGCTTGGGACCGTGGCAGTTTAGGTGGCACAATAAGCCATGACTGGCTGCGGTGGCTGTGGAGAGGAATTCCTTTGCCCATATATCTCTCTTCGGCAACAAAAAAAAAGTACTCTATAACTTATAACACGTAAATATAGAAAATCGTAAATAAATATGAAGCAAGTAAATTTATTAAATATGACAAATACCGTAAAATATTTTACCTTTAGCCAAAATAAAAAAATTTATTTTTATGTAAACTTGTCTAATAAATTTTTTACCATATTTTCACGAAAAATAAAAAACAAAAAAAATAATAATAAATAAATTAGTATATTCCCAATTTTAGAATATAACAATATTATTTAAATTAACAAATTTTTACAGTTAAGTAAAATATTATTACATATTATTTACATTCCGTATATATTTTAAACGTACATATAAGGTATTTACTACATTAAAAATAAAAAAAAAGTGATTTAATACATAAAGTCTCGTATTTATTCTACACGTAGGTTTTTGTTATACATCAAAACTAAATATTCAATATTAAATAAAATTTTTTCTTCTTATTTTTGATCTTCTAAAAAATTCAAAATTAATCAAAGAAAAAGAGTTAATCAAAGATGAAACAAGATTATTAATTATTATTATTTGATAATAAGGGGGAAATAACAACAACTATGACAACTATTTAGTAACTAACTATGATACCGTGATGATAACTTCTAAGATTATAACTATTCCTATACCATCTTGCATACATAAAAAATTTGTTTTAATTGAAAAGAAGTTTTCAATGGAAAAGAGAAAAAAAAATTATTAAGCTTATGAAAATAAAAAATTTTCAAAATTCTTTAAAATATACAAAATATTATGCAAATTTATTCCGGAATGAAAAACCAAATATATACGTTACGTATACGTACGTATATCTCTTTGTTTTTATACGTGAGTACAATAACAGTGTGGTATAAAATTTCCATAGCATATTCTATATTATATAAATAATTTATATTATTATACTATAATTTTTGAATAATTTTTAATTAAATTCAAATATCTTAATCCGAAAGTAATTAAAAATTCAAGAATTTTTATAATAATAATAATTTAGTAATATTTATATGTTTATGTATAAATGTAGAGGCATCAGAGTTTTGACTACTCAAATTAATTTTAATCGGTCTTTAAGAATAAAAAGATTACAAAAGAAGACAAACAACTATAATTGTCATTCTAAATAACGCTTATTTTCCTATATATTTCTATAAACTTTAAAAATTCGAAACGAATACCTCACCAGAATGGAAATCGTCTAATATTATAATCTTCATTGTATTTGATAACCTTTTGAAATTACGAGTATTTCTAAAAATATTACTGATAATTCAACTTCCATTAAAAATACAGTCAATGGTTTCAAAATTTTTTTAATAAATGTTTTAGTACAAAAGTTTTATAAATATAAGAAAACCTTTTTTCCGTATATCCGGAATTTCGTACATATATATATATATATGATATATATCCGAAATATATATATATATATATATATATATATATATATATATATATATATGTGATATATATCCGTACATATATATATATATATGATATATATCCGAAATTCCGGATATATATCATATACATATACCATATATATAATATGGTATATTACGTTAACTTCAATACAATAAATTTTAATTAACAATAAACAAACTTAAATTTTAATTATTGAAAAAATTTCTCATTAAACCTTTTAAAAACTCAATTAAGTTGTATTCTAAACAAATCTATGCGAACCGTCTTTATAATTTAACCACTGTGTATATTATAACCTTTAGTAATTTTATGATATATATCAAGAAATACAAATATATATGTAGGTAAATGAGCGTATAACAGAAGCTAAATTAGAAACTAGAAAAATTTGAATATTCCCTTAATTTAAATATTTCAAATGGAAAAACTTTTTCATTATAATTCAAGCACCTATATATACACGAACTTCTGTTATATTCGTGTATAAAAGAAAAATAAAAATGCTCAATAAATTTTTCTATTTAGATTTAAATTTTCGTTTTTTTTTTTTAATTAATAATTAATTTCTAATAAATTAACATTATAAATATTTTATATACAAAAATTTATTTATTCATTCATTGTTATGATCATTAAAATTACGAGCTCTTTTTAATATTATAATTTACGATATTTCAATTTAAATGGTCGAATTATTTAAAAAATACGATCTATATAATAATTCTTATTAATTAGAATTTAAAATTAAATTAAAATTTATAGTATATAGGTTTCTCTTCAGTTATTTATTTTCTTTCACTCAACTACAAGAATAGCACACAATGTTTCACAATATTTTAAATTTCTTCTTTATTTTTTTAATATCTTCACTTTTTATCTTGTATCATTTGACTATAATATTATTATTTATTTTCATAATTCTAATTAAAAATTTTTTTTTAAATATTTTACCTTAAATTTTCTTTATTTATATTTCTTTTTTTCCTTTTCACTTTTATCAACTCAATTATGATAATTTTTACATTAACACTTCCTTAAATATTTTTTTTTTTGCAAATATTTAACCTTTTATCCTTAAGGTTACATTATTTTTTCCTTTCTTCTAATTAGAAATTTAAACTGCAAAATTATTAAAATATTTCACAATTTATTCTTTTATTTTATTTATTATTTTTTTTTTCTCTCTCTATCTCCCTCTTCACTCCTCTTTTAATTAAATTTTCTTGATTTTTCTCTTTCTTTTTAACTTTATTTTTATTTTTCTTTTATTTAAATAAATATTGTTTTGAAAATATTTTAATTATTTTATTGTTAATTTTATTTCTGCAAAAATCACATTTTCGCCTTAAATTCATTATTTTTTTATAATATTTACAATTTTACTTAAATGAAGTTGGTAGGTATGTTTGAAATGATATTAAAAAAGGTCCTATCATAGAACCGTAACGGCTGTATGAAATAAAAAATTTTGACTCACTTAATCTGTCTATCGCTTATTTATTTTGCCTTGTTTTTTAAACGACCATACCCTTCTTCTTTTTTTTTGTAATTCCGTAATATTTACCGTATTTCGACCGTAAACTCTTTATTCATTGTATAATTGTTGTAGGTTTATAATAAACAAAACGAACCGGTATTTTTATACATTATAAACCTCTGTACACATGAACATTTATAACAATATAACACTTTAAAATATTATATAATTTTATGCAAGTACAAATGTATGTGCATCTTTAATATTATAATCAGTCCTTATGAAATAATAAAATTAAAAAAAAAAGTTATTAAAATTAAAATACAAAATAAAAAAAAATTTAAATTTATTCCCGAGATTGCAATCTCCTCTTAGGTTCCTTTATATAATTTTTTTTTTGCTTATTGTCCGGTCTGTTTTTTACTTTTTTTTAATTTTTTTCATTTGAATTATTCATCAAGAACCAAATGTATGTATTTTAATCTCTATTTCATATAAAAGAAAAATTTAATTTAACAATAAAAACTTTTGCTTTCAGTATATTTCCACTCCGTACGACTATACCATAACGCGACGAGATAATAACTAAACTAAAATAACAGACAGCGCGGTTTGATGAACTTCTCCAGTACAGACAAATTGCAATGCATCCAAGAAAAAAAAAGAGGAAAAACAAAGACAAAACAAAATTTAAATGAAGAAAATATAATAACAATGAATGAAATAGGTATAATGAAAAACAAAAAGAAAAAAAAATTACATAAAAAAAATTTTCCATCTCAATTTCTGTTTCTGCATAATAATGTATTATGTTTATGTAGACTGATATGACAGTCTGTAGTATTCAATGAACAAAAAATTATGTGAGAGAAAAAACAGCAGAGAGGAAAATAGAGAGTGAGAATAACAAAAACAATAATATGAGATTGACGCAACGCACGCAACAGAAAATTACAAAAACAAATTTACTATAACCTTACCTAATCTCTGATAAGAAATTGAGTGAGTTTTTTCTTTATTTTTGTTAAAAAAAAAAAAACAATTTTTGAGTTGAGTGGTTTTCTTTAACTCTCTCAAAATATTATGATAAGAAATCACTTAAATCAATTATCATGAAAATATGTTTTGATTTCATTTAAGTAAAAAGAAAAACAATAAATTACTTTTATTTTTTAAATATTACTCTTTCTCTACTCATATTTCTCTCACCACTTTAAATGTATATTGAAAATTTGAAATGAGTGAAAAATTTTAGAGGAAAATTGTCAAAAAAGAAACGAAAAGCATAAAAAAATATTAATAAAAAATAATATTCAAGAAATTTAAATTTCCGATAGCAGAGAAATTCTAGCAACATGTAGTGTATACGAGGTTGCATACCAATAATACAAATTTGTTGTATTTAAATTCATTTTTTAATTTTGTTGCTCAACATTACGTATGAGGAAATTTTAAACGAGTGAATAATAATGCATATTAAATACATTCGGAATAGATAAAGTGGGAAAAAATGTCGGATTATTCATTTAATTTTTAAGAAAAAAAAAATGCCATAAAAACTTTAAGTAAATATTAAATAAGTCAAGTAATTAATATTTAATTAAGGAATGAATAATAATTATTTAATTTATTATTCGAGAAATTATTTTTAAATACAACAATTTGTATATAAATATATCATGCCTGTATAATGTAATTCCATTGAAAGTTTCTTAATATACAATTTTGATTCCGAGTGTTTTGGAATCTCGATATAACTAGAGAGTTTTAATTTAACAGTATGATATGATCATCAGCCGTGACTATGAAAAGCACGGGTTAATACATCCATTTAGATGCACAATTCGAATGTAATATTATACGCCAATAGAAAACATTTGATATAATCTGTAGACTCATTCTGTAAAATAACACAAACATATATATGTATACATTATGTACCTATATATCGTTATTCTTTAGTATATCTAGTAAAATTCCTGCCAACACTATTGATTCAAATAATGAAGAGAATAACGTTACTAACTTATTAAAGTAAAGTAATTACATTTTCTAATCAAACATTAAACTTAATTCTTTCAAATGCAATTTTAACTAAAACTACAATTAAATGAAAATGATCAGAGAACTAAATAATATGAAAATTTTCTTTAATATCAAAATTTTATAACTTTTATTTTATTACAAAACTTAATTTTCAATAGAAAAATTTCTTTATTTTTTGTATAATTTTTAAGATGAAACCATTTAATTTAAATATTACTCAAGAAATTCTTTTGATACCTTAAAACTTTTATAACAATGCATTCTCAATAGTACGTTATTGTAGATATTTTGTTATACACATCGCATATTACGTTGTACACAAATATTATTTAAGCTAAATATGTCCTTTAATTTGTTTTGTTTAAGCTAAACAATTTGATTTAATTTATTTTTTATTTTTATTTTTATTTATTTTTATTTATTATACTTTATTCTCTGAATTATTACTTAAATTTTACTTTACAAGAGGGTTTTCTGCGAACAAATTTTGTTTAAGCGATAAAAATAACGCAAAGTAGAGCGCAAATAAGACTTAATAGCATTTGTGTGCGCTGACCAATTCAACATACTATCAATAAACACACCTAAGTATTTGAGTTGATTGACTTCTTCTACTATAAAGCAAGAGGAGTTACAGCAGCCAGAATGTACAATGTTAACATTATGGTTATTATCACTATCCATAAAAACACTTTTGCAACCAGAAGAATGAAAAACAAGATTAATATCAGAAAGTTCCTTTTGCATAAGATTAAAAAACATTAGTTTTGTTTTATCACTAACAATTAGCTTATGTCGGAAGAACCAATATCTTAATAAGATCTTTATTGATTGCACACGTTAGATTGAGTGGACTGTTGCACGAATAGGAAATTGCAAGATCATCAGCAAAAACTGTTAAATTACCTTGAAATTCCAAATCAAAAAGTGAATTTATATATATAAGAAATAATATTGGTCCCAAAACAGATCCCTGGGGAACTCCCAAACTAACATATTGAACACTACTGAATTTGCTACCAATTTTGACTCTTTGAGTCCTGTATTCTAAGTAAGATTTAAACCAATCCAATATAACACCACGAAAACCTAGCGCAAATAATTTATTCAAAAGAATTTTATGATTCACCATGTCAAAAGCTTTAGTAACATCAACAAATAGACCTGCATAATTTAGTTTTTTGTCCAGACCTGAATTTATTTGCGAATAAAAATTTAATAAAGCATCTTCAGTTGATACGCCTTTTTTGAAGCCAAATTGTTTAAAATTAAAAAATTCCAATTCATTTAAATACTTCAATGTTCAAGCTTTCATTGCCTTTTCGAAAATTTTTGAAATCGTAGGAAGCAAGGAAATAGGTCTATAGTTGTTTACGTCTGACTCCACCCCTTTTTTGAACAGTGGAATAACAACTGCAGATTTTAGCTGGTCGGAAAATAATCCTGAAAGCACACAAAAGTTGAAAATATACACCAGAACATCGACAATATTAAATGAAATTTCCTTCAATAATTTATTGGAGATATTATCAAACCCAGCAGAATATGAGTTTTTTAAAGACCGAATAATTTGGAGAAGTTCAGGTACCGAGAAACTATCAAAAAAGAAGCTATTACGAACACTGTTTACCTCCGTGATATCATATTCAAAGTCAGAACCTAAATCAGAAGACAACTTTATAGCAACCGAGAAAAAATGATTATTGAACTCATTTGCAATTAGAAACTCATCTGTTATAGACTGTCCATTTTTTGTATAATTTCTATTTTCTTACTATTTTTCGAGTTCTTATTGAACAAGTTATTAACTAGTCTCCACTCGCTCTTTATATCACCATTACATTTAACGAATTCATTGCGATAAAATCTTTCACGGCATTCAGAAATTTCATTTTTTATTAATTTGCTCAGCTTTTTGTAACGACTTTTTAACCTAGAATTAGATGGATGTTTATATAATTTGATACATAATTTGTTCTTTAATTTTACTTTTCTCAACAAAATATGATTCATCCACGGTTTTAACTTTTTATTTTTCGCACGAGGACTATAACTAAAAGTACATTGGAAAATATAACTGCTTAAAATTCCAATGAATTTATTATATGCTGTACTAGCATTTTGTTCATTATAAACATCATCCCAAAATTCAAAAATTAGCATATTGTTCATCTATTGTATCATATGTTGCATCTATTATAATCTATTTTTGAAATTGTAGCAGTAACAGGAGTATTTTCTTTTTTTTTCAACTATTAACGATTTAATAAGAAGTCCAGTCATACAATGATCTGTAATTTCAAAATTAAAAACTCCCTTTTCACACGACTGCAAAGGAACAGTATCGAAACGACCATGAATATGATCTAGGCAAGACCCAGAACTAATCCTAGTCGGTTCATTAATAAAAGGAAAAAGACCATTTTCGGCTAGAATTAAAAGATAATAGTCAACATTTTTAGAATTAGATAGAGAATCTAGATTAAAGTCACCAACAATTATTAAATTAGAAGAATTTATGTTATATAGCAAATTTTTGAACTCATTAAGAAATATATTAACTGAACAACTATGTAATCTATACACACAAATAAGAGAAAACGAAATATCCTTAATTTTACAATCAATTTTCAAAATATCAGCAGATGCAAAAGTATAATATGTAACATCTGCATTCAAATAACAATTTTTTACAAATACACCCACTACCCACACCACCAGCAGCATACGTCTCGTTAGTATTAGCAAAAAATGTATAATTAGGAATATTATACTCCACTAATTCGTTCTCAAAAACCCAAATTTCAGAGACAAAAATAAAGTCCGGCTTGTTAATAAATGTTTCTAAATGAACTAGCAACAAATCAAAGTTTTGTCTTAGGCTTCTTATGTTTTGATGTATTATAAAAAACAAATTAGTGTTAGAGGAAAACTCAAAAAAAAACACTACTACAATTTAAGCCACAATTACCACTATAACTAATATCAAAATCTAAATCTAAGTTATTTCGTTGAATTATCATTTACCTAGGGGTTTCATATAATTATGTAAAGCCAGTCTTGTCTTTTGCAGGTACTCACTGTATTTGCTTATCATGTGTATTCTATAGGTCTTCAAGTCATTCAAGTTATTAGCTGACGTAATTATAGTATTAGTTATAGGATCAGAATTTGAAACATTGACATTCCCAATACTACTACCATTCACAACCATATTGCATGCAGTATCACTATTATTATTACTGTAATTATTGTTGTTATTATTGTTCGTATTGTTAGACGATATTATTATAATTATTGTTATTATTATTGTTATTCATATGCATACATTTACGCTTTATTTTCGAAAAGCATGTATTCATTTAATAAATATTAAAAAAATATCAAATTTAAACTATAACGTTAAAATTGAAAGATTTTAAAATTTATAATGAAAAAATTTTTAATATATTAATTAAAATAAAAATTTTTTACCTACACAAAAGTGCGCAATGAATGCATTTCAATCACGAACATTTATTATA